CATGTGAGTCCCGCCTTTCCCCCCCAATCGACTATGGACTAACCCTAACCCTAACCCTAACCCTAACCCTAACCCTAACCCTAACCCTAAGCCTAACCCTAACCCTAACCCTAACCCTAACCCTAACCCGCAGCCTAAGCCTAAGCCTAACCCTAACCCTAACCCTAACCCTAACCCTAGGGGCTAAGCCTAACCCTAACCCTAACCCCTAACGGAACCCTAACCCTAACCCTAACCCTAACCCGTAACCCTAACCCTAACCCTAACCCTAACCCTAACCCTAACCCTAACCCTAACCCTAACCCTAACCCTAACCCTAACCCTAACCCTAACCCTAACCCTAACCCTAACCCTAACCCTAACCCTAACCCTAACCCTAACCCTAACCCTAACCCTAACCCTAACCCTAACCCTAACCCTAACCCTAACCCTAACCCTAACCCTAACCCTAACCCTAACCCTAACCCTAACCCTAACCCTAACCCTAACCCTAACCCTAACCCTAACCCTAACCCTAACCCTAACCCTAACCCTAACCCTAACCCTAACCCTAACCCTAACCCTAACCCTAACCCTAACCCTAACCCTAACCCTAACCCTAACCCTAACCCTAACCCTAAGAGACCTTGAAATCCTACCCACCAATTTGCCCAATTAGTGAGCCTAGAGTCCTCTTCCTGAGCACCTACCCTCACATGCACTACATTGGTTGTCTTCCATATCCTAAGTGATCACAGTCACATCACCAGCTTGAGTCGCAATTATGACGCCTCCGTTTGCTGATTTGATGGTGACAGGCTGAATGGAATGGAGATTATCAAAGACTTTGACATCATTGAATATGTCTTTGTTTGACCCAGTGTCCATGAAGAAGTTGACTTTGCTGTGTTGAACATTGGATGCAATCGCAGAGTATGCAGTGGTGAGATTGATCGTTTCTTCATCATCATTTCCCAAATCCTCAGTTACAACAGAAGCGTTTGCAGAGGCACTTGGCGATTTGCTTTGTGACGAGAAGGCTTGATCAAATAGGCGGATTTTATCAGTGTTTGATAGCTGAGTCGGTTTGCTAGTGTTCTGACTGGCTGGAGCGCTCCACTGACGTTGCATAGGTCTAGACATGTTGGGTGTGTGGTTGCCTCGGCGATCTTTGCAATCTCGGTTGAGATGCATTGAGAACTGATGACTGGGGTGGCAAAATAAAGCATCAGGTGCTGTACTGGATCTGTCACCTCCCTTGCTAGTCGGAGTAACCTTCTTGTTCTTCAAAACCACCGTGTAAGCCAGTGAGTTCGTGGTGTCGTTTTGACTCATCTGTGCCTCAGTAAGAAGCAACGCAGCCACAGTTACTGTACTGGTAAAGTATTGTCAATACTAGTACAGTACCTGGCTTTTTGGATATGTTATGATGTTATGTATGTGATAGGTCTAATTACATCATTCCTGATTGCTAATCATATTTTACTCTAAATATCTTTATATCTTATTAGCATAATTCATTTATATATTGTAGAATAGATTGTAGATAGGATTGGTTTCTCTTCACCTTTCCTCTTTGATCTAACATTCTGTTCTAGGTAAGTTCAACCATTATATGCAATGGTTATACCTTTCCTCTTTGATCTAACATTCTGTTCTAGTTGTGAGAATCCATCTTATCAGGATACTACAAATGAAGGTACTTGGTACAGTACCTTGCACTAGGCACAGTACTCTATACAGTACCTACGATCTAGGTACCGTAAAAAACGCCCAGCAGTATAGTAACTTTGTGTTCTGCTAGGTACTGTACTATACTGGTATCTCAGGTTTGCAGATAGGTACTGTACTTTACCGTACCTATGGCAAGTACTGCCCAGTATCTCACCGTACCTTGAGTTGGTACCCGGAACATTGGGTGTATTGAAAGGCTTAAGAAATGATAACTAAGTTGCCTATTTATATATAAATCATTAATTAGGTAACAAATATCAGTAGAGATTGAAATTGAAAACAAACATACTACTATAGTGCTGGGAGGAAAGGGGATTGATCAAGAAAATCAAAAATGCAGGTACTGTTGACTACTGTACCGGTATAGTACCTATATTTTAGGTACTGGCAGGGCCAGTACCGGTATCGTACCTTCCGTGGCGGTACTGTACTTGGTACAGTACCTATACTAAAATTTCAAAAAAATTTGCCCTCCAGTACAGTAGTGCCCACCTAGGTACAATACTGGCAGGTACTGTACCGGGAAAATCAGGTACTATACTGTACTTTACCAGTACTGGTACAGTAATTGTGGCTGTGTTGTAAGAAGTCTATTGATCACATTTGTAGTTGTGAGGTTTGTCGTGTCACCCATCAGTTGTTGTATGATGCCACCAAAGTCATCCCTTGGTAGATTGATTAGCATAAGTAAAGCCAAAACCTGGTCCAAAAGTTTCAGACCTGATTCCTCACATACTGTTTTAGCGAGCTGGTTCTGTAGTGATTGAGCTTCACTGACATAGTCCTCAAGTTTCGTGGATGAGTCGTACTGGTGATTAACAATCTTTGTAATGATGTTTGCTGCAGCTAATCCCAAATTGACCCCATGACGTTTCTCAAGAGATTGAATTCCCAAGAAAGGATCGTCCATACCCAATATGTGTTGCATATGGACTGGATCCAGACTTGCCCTAATGACCAGCATGACTTGCTGTTTTCGCATTTTGAAGGCATCAAGTGCTTCAGGATTGGTAGGTGTTGGGACCAAAGAGCGTATGTATGATACAAGACCAATGGCCTTGATATATCCTTCAATGTTCTTCTTTCATTGAAAGATATCACAGTTGCCAAGCTTTGGAAAGGTGAAGAGGATAGAACTACTAGGCATGGAACTATGGTTGTCTGACATGGTTGTCAAAGTGGACAATGCAGGTTGTAGTTGTCTCTGTAGAGTGTGTCCCAAAGAATCAGATTCATTTGAGTCGTCAGAAGCGTCTGACAGTGGCATGGTTTCTCCACTAGCAGGCGTGCCAGCAGGGGTGGGGTACAAAGACATGGGGAGGTGGTGGGTTTTGGAAGAATAGTCTTCTTCTGGTTGTTGCATTTGGTGTTATCAATATGAGCAGAGATACCTCAGCTGTGTGCTGGGCTCATAACCAGATGAAGTAAGAATACTGTACAGCAGCGTCAGTGTTCTGATGTATAGAAAGATAGAGAGAGAAATAGAATATGGCGCAATGGATAGTGTTTGAGTGAAGTATAAAACAAGATCAACACCCAAACAACAACAGGCTATGGAGAGAAAGAGAATATAGATGAAATGTACAAGCATTAATTGTGCATAAGCATATAAATGATTTGATATAACAAGTTAATGTAATTTGAAATATGCAAGAGTATTAGTAATGAGTATACATGTCAACAGAAACTTCCTACGCTGAATGAAAGAATAATGTTACCCCATCATGAAAAGTATACAGTGTACGCTTGAGATTGGGAAATTTATCAGTCATATATGCTTGAGGCCCAACCCCAGAATCCAGATTGCTTGTATCAAATATGTTAATTACAGGCGGATCAAAAACAACCCCCATCAATGTGGGTATTTTCTCGGCATTTGTACTTGTCTTTGGTGTTGCTCAAAGATTGAGCGGTGAGTGGGGCATAATACTTTACAAGTCTATTGTATATATACATTTGTAAAAAAATCTATCTCCAGTCGGAGATGAGTAGTACACCTGCAGAAGCATGTCAATTAACAATTCTAGAACAAGGGCTTGTTGATCCACGTTCAATCTCTCTCCCTGTGCCCATAGATAAACCCAGCTACCCAACTTGTGGTTTTGTCCTCTTCCCATCATCCTGTTTCCCACCTCATTGATGATCTTTTCTTTCACTCAACCTGATGATCATGTTGACTCCAATACAGATGCCTGTCTTCTTACCCAATTACATGCTACAATTTGTTTGTGATGGATCTGACCCTCCTAGAATTGATACCGAACTATTCATAAGCCAAGCCAGTTGCTCTCAGTTTTTAAACATCATCCTCACTTTCTATCCACAATTCCAATTTGATGAAAAAGTAAAAGAAGATTGTGGACTCCTTGTCAAGACCTTTTGCTCAATGAGATCAGCTCAACTAGCCAATAATGTACTCATTCCACTCGATGTCAACTCCCAAAATAGCTACTTCCAAGCATCTCTCAGAGGTCCAATCTTTTCATATCAAGACACTCGGAAGACCATCAAATGTGAAGCTGATATTGATGACAATTGTACCACCCACTTCAGCTTTTTGTTATACTTTACCTCTGGAGTGGGCAGTTTCAACTTGCTGCCGAAAACATTGAAAAATTTATCCAAACTTACAAGTACCTCAATGAAGACGAGATTTCAGAAATCTACGCCACTGAAGACAACACTCAAGACACTCTCCACAGTAATGTTGTGTCACTGGGTGAAGATCATCAAGCAATTGCAGCAATAACTCTTCAGTCATGCAACACCAATCCTTTGGCCACCCGCCCTCCAGATCTTGAGGTTCAGCTTAGAACTGCAATCAAAACGTTAGAAGTGCACCAAAAGATGTTCAATTGGGCTATTGAAGACGTTGGTTTTATTCCTGCGTTGGCAGAATATCACGAGTGAGCTCATTTGAGAGTGAAGTGAAAAATCTCCACTACCTCACTCTTATAGTCTGACATTTATTATATTGATGATTTTATTACCAGAGCCAAGCGCAAGCTATACACGGGCAGTTCGCCAAAACCACCTGGGTTTTCAGAACATGGAAGCCCCCTCAAAGATGATGTACCAATTGATAAATCCACCAATTGACCATGACAGCACAATGCCATTTTACATCACTCACAGGTTTGTTTCTGAAATCTTTTTAGTTGTTATAGATACCATGGTTAGTAACATGTAACTAACACTTTTATCTGTGTCCTTAGTTCCAAACTTTTCGCGATAGTTGATAGAATGGTAACTGACAATCGGATCTATAAAGAAATAGGAATTTAGTTTGACAATGAGATTATAAAAGAATGTATCCAATGATTTGTCATGACTTGTATACTAATTGATCAATCGCGATTTGATCTGGATTTGATTTGACTCATCAATCATAACTGGTAACAATGTGCTTGGTAATACCCAGACCCATCCAAAGTTCATGATAGGCAGCCTGCCAAATCATCACCAAGTAAACCTTTCAAGTGTTTCCTAGGTCCCCATAGTAGTGTACGTTTCCACCCAAGTATTGAAAGGGTCTTTGAGAGTAGAACCGCATCGCCGGCAATGATCAATACCAACTAATTCAGTCATGAGTTGATGATGATCGCCAGCTTGCCACTCACAGGTTATTTTAAAAATTTGAAACACAGAATCATATATACATATAGATATAGATATGATGGCTTCTCATTTGTCTTAATCCCTCCTTCTTATATATCATCAATTGTGTGCGCCATTTTGTAGTCTGGTTAAGCCACCAAAACATCCTCACATAGCCCCAGTTCTTAGTAGCCATGAACTCCGGGATTGGCGCCGTGAACTGCATGGCAATCATCAGATTGAATCCAATAGTACAACAAAAGTCAGGCGTAGAAAAAAAGATCCAGATTCGGAACCTGGTATGTCTCATGTAATGAAATCTGATCCCCTTGTGCATTTTGACTGACTTTTTAAATATCTGATTACAATCTGTATAGATGATAGAGGGGATGCTCTGGAAAAAATTGGAGTATCCCTTGGTCCAAAAACTGCTTGCAAAGATTTACTTAACCTCCTGGACAAGCAGATTCGAAGAAAAACACCACGTTGTAGAACTCCTATGCTGTGTGGCGTAGGCTGAGCCGGAGAGGGGAAGAATCACCGCGCAGAAAGAATAACCACACGGATGAAACTAATATTGTCGTAGACTGCCCTCAACCTTGAAATGAAAGTTCAAAAAAATAAAAAAATATCACAGAAGCAATTCTCTAACAATTTTATATCTTCACAAGTCTAACACATAACACTATTCTACTATTTCTAAAGGACCACAAGGTCTGGCTGAGTCCTACAAAACCCTACACCACTGTACTCAAATGCTTAATGCAAGGTTATGTGAATTTTGAATTGTGGTAATTGTCTTTACTACTTGTAATAATAAAATTTTGAATGTAACAACTTAACCCAGATAATTTTATAAAAGAGGAAAAAAGATGAACTAAGGAAATAAAAAAAAATTCTCAATCCAATTCTAAAATTTTAGTGGACCTATACTTAAAGGATAAAAAAAATTTATAAGGAAAATCTCTGTGGCCTATAGGGGATTTGAACCAAGGATCTGGCTAGGTCTGTGTAAAGGCCTTTCACGTATTGTGAAATATAGTAATAAAAAAAATAAAATAAAATAACTAATCTCCTCTTGACTCACGCTCACACCCGATGCCCCGATGCCTCGTGGCGCCACGGCAGGGCTCAGGGCAAGGGCCGGGGCCTCGGCCTCGGCCATGCCCTGGCCCTTCTGTGTGATTTTGTGTTCTCTGTGCTCCAATGAGGGCGAGTTGGATTTGTTCCGTCTTCGCGGCAAATATCATGAAGGATGGTGGCATTATAACGTGTATAAGTTGTTGAATTGTGCCATGTTTTTAAGGCCATGGCCCTGGCCACGCCCTGGGCCACGAAAAAGTCACCGGGTGTGAGCGTGACTCTTGACCCAGCTCAGCAAACACCACCGATTTCAATCTTTCAAGATACTAAAAGAACACTATCACTCCACTGATTCGATTTTAGGAATAACTAAGCTTAAAAGACAACAATTGAACAACGCTCAAAACTTCAAAACAAGATCACTTCACTGATTTAATAAGGAATTTTTCAAAAGAACAAAACTCTCGATAATGCGCTAACGCTTTTAAAATCAATCACTCAGAGACTTATATTCTTAAAACGACGAATTCTTTCTTTTTCTTTCTAGATGAATCCTCCAAAAAAAACACACACAAAAAAACCCCCTTCGAACGAACAAACACAAAACCCCTCCTCCTTTTCTTCATTCCTCACTTCACCTTCTACTCCGATTGGCTCAATTCTGCTCAAGTCTCATCAAGACACTTTCAAATTTGATTTTCGTTAAAGTTCCAGTTTACTTAGGCGAGTACCCCAATCTATCCCGCTCATCCTTTTATTATTCAACTCAAGCTTATCACCTCATGATTCCTTTTTTCTTTCCGCGCCTGAGTGCTGTTTCTATCTCAATCACCTCATTCAACCTACTCCCCACCTCGTCTCGATCTTCACACCATCGATTTAAAATGTAAGTTCAGTTTCTCTCCTCTTCTTCTACTATCTCATTCTTGAATCATCACGTTGCTCAAATCTCCATTTCAATTTCGATTAGGACCCTTGTTTGACTTTCAACTTCAACCACTCTAGAACACCATCTTTCCACCTTGATCTTGAGTGTACTAATTTCCATCTCCACTATACCAACTTACTTTCGATCTCAACTTGTTTCAACATCAATTACTAAATCACCCAATCTTCCTGATTTCGATTTTCGTGGCTGTGAATATCTTGTAAGTTTGTTCCTTCATTTAATCGTCTTGATTTGAATCGATCTGATTCTTTTAGATTCCCTCAATCGTCCTTCTAGGTACCCATCGATTTTGATTTCGCTGCCATCTCTAATCCCTCTCAATCTTGATCTTCATTTCTATCTCTCTCTCACAAATTTGACTTTATCCTTGTACTGTAGGTTATTCTCTCAATCTTGTTTCTTCTTTTAGAGTTTTACTGAAGCTTATCTATTTTGATTTATATATTTATTTCTTCATTTATTTTCTATCTCGAACACACTTTCTAGAAATCGATCGATCGATCTGCATCTCCCAGCTGTATCCTCCCCTTTTATCTTGACTAGCCCAATCAGCGGCGGGCGCCGCACAGCTCCTTCCCAGGATAGAATGCCCACGCTTTGTTTTCTCATACAGCTTGCATTATCACTTCTGCTGGTTTCTGGTCTTTTCTTGATCAATTTCAATGGTTGTCTATTCAACTGTTTGAAGTTGGTACATTGAGGGGGATAAGGGAGGATATGATGATGATGAAATGGAAATCTGGCTATGTGAAGGATTTACAGTTGGTTTATCTCTGTGGGGGTATACAAAGCATTGAGGTGTTTGACTATTCCTTGGAATCGGAGGGGGTGGTTGAGATGAGAGCTGATTATAATGGTGATGACTCCAATCGGACTTCAGATACTCTTGCCCTTGAGCTTGTACCCAATATCTATTCAGTTGACGCAGCTTCACATGCTCACTGTTCTGCCTTTCATATTCATCATTTGAAAGTTGTTTTATGTTTTGTTGATTGATGGGAGAAGGTGGCGGAGGATATGGATTTCTCTCCAGTTTGTAGGCTATGGGTTTGAAATGATATGATGTAGAGACATCAGGTTGATGGTGATCATGAATTGCTTGGTAGTGATGATATGGGTACCAATCTGGTTGAATTGAGTTAAGCTCTAACAGTCAATTATTTGCCTGGTCATATTTAGGCTGTCTTTGATCAGACATCATGAGCAGATCAATATAGGTCTTGACCATTGGATCTGCTCCACTTGCATTTGTTGGTGGGGCTTTCCGCTTATGTTCTAATGGGTCCAAAACTGCCTTTGGTCTCAGGTATTACATATTTGCAGTGATCCTTATGTTCAGAGCTATGCTTATAGTGGGAGGAAGGGGATTTTAGCCTCCATTGTTGTATTACTGTTATCCTCACACTGCAATCATGTTAGCATTGGGACAGCACCTTGTCACCCCATTCTCTGTCCCCACTGCGCTCTGGATCATAACATATTTCAGTCTCAGGATAACAGTAATACAATGATGGAGGTCAATACATTCAATTACTAAACCTCTTAGCGCTCTAGATACATTACTAAAAGTAGTCATCATGAGTTCTTCTTGATCTTGGTTCATTTCTCCACACCCACTTTCTGTTAATTCTGCTTCTTCTGTAAATCAATATTGAACTTTCACATGTGTGTAGGAACCAATTTAATAATTCAGGAATAGGTCAGATCCAGTCATATATATTGGTACAAGTTGAAATTAAGGATGGTAATTGAGTAGGGGGATGAAGTTCATGTGATACACTTCCAGCATTAAAGAGGTTCCCAGATGGGAATATGGGTCCTAGTGATCAGATTCCCATTCTGCTACTGTTACACAGTTCCATGAATATTGCCTGAGTAGCCATTGTGATATATGTAGTCAATATTTTGAAATGTGTGTCTCAATCTGAACAAAGTTACAGCATGTATTACACATGATTTTCTTATCTAGATGAGCAGATAACTGAGCGGACCTGTATGTAGCTGATAGCTAAGGATTTACTCAGATGTTTGCATATATGTAGTGTATGCTTTATGGCTCAGATGTGCAGTGCGAGATGATGTGATGCTCCATTCTTCTCTCAATGATATTCCCAGCCTAGGTCATGTTCCGACCAGGGAACCTATTTAATGCTGGCAGTGATATGATCTCAAAGATTGATTTTGAAACTGTATGTACAACAAACCTGAGTTGTGTATCCAAGACATTTGAAGATTTTGTACATATTGTTTGAAGGCAGATAATATAGGTGTATGTCTTCAGACTCCCATGAATATGAAAAACCCAATGACAAAATGAGAGATAAACTTGCAAAAAAACTGACCAGGCAGGATTGCTGGTAGGATCAGTAAAGCTACCTCTTAAATATCATCATTGAAACTGCAGACTGTCAGTAGCACTTGTTAGTCTTCTTCTTGGTGAAGCGTAAAAAGGAAAAATATAACACTAAAA